CGCGCATGTTTTAACGTGTGATACAGTGTGAAAATAAGCGAAAATTAGCGACATCAATCAACCAAACTTGTAAGAGATTTATTAGGACCCGACACTCCAAACAACACTTATATTACATTATAGATATGTTTTCGCATAGAGCAGATTAATATTTGATTTGAATTATGCAATTAGTTTCGGCTATTAAGAGGCCCCATCAGGGGTCACGAACATGAATCATGGTGTTAGTTTTAGGTGAGACCGGATTATCTCGTCACCTATATTCTTGTGTTTGCTGTAAGCTATGATTGGTTGAGAATTAAATAAAGTTTTGCATTCTGGATTTCTAAGAATGGTGTTCCAATATTTCAGAATTCGTTTTTTATCATTAACTTTTTTATCAATAAGCAGCGGCTGTGTCAACATCCATCTTCTTAACCCAATAAAGATACAATAACACTTAACTTTTGCAAAATAATCTATGTGGCGGCCGCCATATAAATTATGTGGCGGCCGCCAAATAATAAGTGGCGGCCGCCAGATATATAAGTGGCGGGCGCCAAATAATAAGTGGCGGCCGGCAGATAAAATATTTTTCGGACGTGGCACCAACGGGCTTCATACTACACTAATTAAGTTCTTTCAAATGAAACCATTGTGGCAACGCACTTTGAAAAAATTACGCACTTTGAACAATTTTTTCAAAGTGCGTTAAAATTGGGACAAAATCAACGCACTTTGAAAAAAAATTTCAAAGTGCGTTAAGAGATTACTTCAATATATTTTACCATGGAGATACTTAACGCGCTTTGAAAAAAATATGTAAAAACGAAAATTCTGGATTTAGATTTTAGTAATAGAAAAATTCTATTTCAGTGAACATTATTTATTTTCAAAGAACTTATATATTTATTTTACTTCACCCGTCGAGAAGAGAAGACGGCCGGTAGATGATCTCTCAGCCTATAACCCAAAAAAGGTTAATCCGCATTTTCAATGCCTATACGATGTATGTCTTTCCAAAATAAGTGGGGGATAAGCCCCCCTCCCCTTGCCTTTCGCCCGGTTTCGATGCCTATGCTATACCTAAACAATGGATAAATGTATTTATATTACTGCTGTGAGGTTGAAAACTATCAATAATTGAATTAATTAAATTAAAACAGATGAAAACTACAAATTTTTAAGTACAGTAAAATGTATGAGAGAGAAAGATTTTTTCATAGTCTTGAAAAATCAAATTGCCCCTCTTTCTTAAGATAAATACTTTGCTGTAAGTCGTTCACTTTTAGCCCCCCCCCCCATCTACATATTACAGACTAGAAATTTTAGACAGAAACGGCAATAATAATATCAAACAATCATCTCTCTATTTTTTCTAAAAGACCCATTTCCCTTTTATAATGTTAATCAAAACCTTAAATATTCAAAAGTCAATATCTTAGGTCCTGATTTGACCTTATCACCAAAAAGTTATCCAACTAGGGTCAATTATTTATCATACCGATTATTTCTAAGATTATCAAGCAAGCTTTACATTTTTTTTTTTCAAAGTGCGATAATATGATCGATATTAACGCACTTTGAAAAGAAATTTGATTTTTTCAAAGTGCGTTAGCTTGGTCCCAAATTTAACGCACTTTGAAAAAATTTTTCAAAGTGCGTAATTTTTCAAAGTGCGTTGTAACAAACCATGGTCAATGACCTTGTGACCTTGACTGTGTCCTATATGCTAAAATAGTTTTTTGGAACTTTGTTGCCGACGGGCGCATGGTGTTTCACAAACACATCTTGTTTTAAGGACGGATGATACAAACAAACTTTTGTCAAAAATTTTGAAAATAACAACTTGGGTCATGTTTTAAGAATAAAATGAATAGGTTTCACCGCGTAGTTTTTAAATTTTTATTCAAATTTGCACAAACATGGAATTTGAAGTAAAGTCAGGGATCATAAACATGATTTAAATACCACCATTAGTGCAGTTCAAGAATATTTCTCGAATTCAGAAGGGTAGAATTTGAATGTCACAGAAGGTTTACAATTTCTTTATATTCTAGAAATTTATTATTTGCATCAGTTGCATACCAATCCAGGCATCCATTTTTTGTCCCCCGCTTGAAAAGTGGGGGATATTAATTTGGGTTTGTCCGTCCGTCCGTCTGTCCGTCCGTCTTTCTGTCTGTCTGTAACGCTTTTGTTTCCACACGATATCTCGAGAACCCTTTGAGCTTTTGGAATGAAATTTAGCATAGCAAATCCCTATGGACTAAAGAAGACCCCTATTGATTTTGAGGTCAAAAGGTCAAAGGTCAAGGTCATAAATAAGCAAATTCTGTCTGTTAAAACACTTTCGTTTCCACACGATATTTCTAGAACCATTTGAGCTATTGCAATGAAATTTTATATAACAACTCCCTGTGGCCTAATGAAGACCCCTATTGATTTTGAGGTCAAAAGGTCAAAGTTCAAGGTCGTAAATTTATACATTCTGTCTGTGTGTAATACTATCATTTCCGGGCGATATTTCAAGAAGATTTTGAGCTTATGCAATGTAATCTTATACCAAAACTCCCTAGGACGTCTCTCGCCCCTCTCAAAGTGCCCCGCCCCGTTTGTTTTATTAGTATTTATAGTATTACATGTCGCTATTTTTAGCGCAGGGGCATGAGGAGAGTTATTGCGTATAAAACAGGTTCTCGGCGGACTTTATGTTCTTATTATATCTATTGGAACTGTTTAATAAAGGCTAAATAAATCAAACTCCATGGATTGTGTAAAATTTTGAGAATACCGAACATGAAAACATGAATATATGCATGTATGTGACTTCGATTCTGCATATACCTCACACCGTTTAAAGCGATTCCGTGGTCTAGTGGTTATGTCTCTCGCTTCAAATGTGAGAGGTCCCGGGATCGAATTTCGGTTGATCCTTTCTTTCTTTTTCTTTATTTTTAAATACTTTTTTTTTTTACTAAATGATAGTATTCAGCATGTGAAATGAAAAATTTATGAGGTTATAAAATCATCATTACAGTGTGATAAACATTCCATATAAAAAAATCTTCTATACACATAATAAAGAATAAGCAATCAAATCTTTATATGCATATTGACATACATGTATTTTATTTGCTTCAGTATACATGTATACATTTAATAATTCTACAAATTCAGTCAGGGGGAGCCGACTTTTTCCCTAAGCGGGGGACACGAATTCTCTGAATTAGCTTGTTGTTTGTATCATCTGTCCTTAACAAGGATGTTCACTGCATTTTTGTTTTTGACAGTAAATCCTCAAAGTTTGCATATAGAGGAAAGACCTACTTTTTTTTATAAAAATAAATTTTTATGACATATTAATTATTAGAATCTTTTCGAGAAATATTCTTGAAGTGCATTAAGTCAGGGATCATAAACACGATTTAAATACCACCATTAATGCAGTTCAAGAATATTCCTCGAATTCTCGAAAAGAAAGACTTGTGTAGTTTCGTGGTTAGCGTGCAGTCTGGTCTCCAAAGAAACAGTTAAGGTTCGAACCCGACGGATACCATTATATTATTAAATTTGCCGTGAAATATTTTCCTCGAAAAAATTCTTATAATAAATAATTAATTCATAAAATGAACATGTGTTTTATATACTGTAGAAGTACTTTTATCCGCGTGGTATTAATTTACGCTATGTACGCGGTCACAAATATTCCGCGGAAATTAGTCCCATCGAACTTAATTCAAATATAAGGCATATAAGGAGAATTTTAAGATATCCGCGTAATTTTCTACTAGCGGATTAAACAGAAATAGAGATTCCGCGGAATTATGACCCCGTGGAAAAAAGTACGTTTACAGTATGTGAAACTATTGGTTTTCTGCACGCTATGTTCGCAAATCTCATATTTGTAAAGAAAAGAAAAAAGATTTCACACTTTCAATTGAATTTTGATTCTGTTGTACAAATAGAGAAAAGAAAAGAATATGATATAGGAGGTAAAAGTAAAAATTTAATCAACAATAACAATATTGGGAATGTCTATAAAAAATCCATCAAAGTTTCGTATAACATATAAATGAATCTTCAGTTCTTCATTTCGATGCTTTACATACATTGGTAAAATTACACATATGTAGTATGCTGAAAGACTTTACTGGGCTAGATTACGCGTATTTATATTTGCGTAGTACAGTTTTTTTTTAACATTTTGTAGTATTACATGTGTATGTGGTAAACTACAATAATAACAAATGAGACATTCAACAATTGAGTATTTGAAATACTCACAAGTCAAAATCTATATGTAGTACATAATTATAACGACACGCCAGAAATTTCTGTTTTCGTGTGCACATCTTCGTTTGCCAAGGAAGAAGTTCCGCTCAGACTCTGCTTTTTTCAGCAATTTAAAGAAAAGGATGTCATTATGCAATAAGAATGGGATGAAAATTAAGGGCAAGTTAATCATGTTGGATTTCAAGGTCAAATTATCCGGCACCTTTTCGGGACAAATGGACGAAAAGGGGTAACACGCAGAGCTGCGGTTCTTGGCTTAAAATTTTGAATTGAATGGAGAGGTAGGGAAAAAACCCAAATAAAAAAAAAATTAAAAAAAAATATAGTGCTCAATCGGTCGGACACCCAACTCCAATATTGTTTGTTGGCTTAGCCATTGGTTTTCGCCTTAAGTTCATTAGAATTTGTATCTTTCTTCAAACATCTCTTTTTAAATCTAGAATAAAAATATTTCATAGTCAGTATGTCTGCCAAACAGATAAGAGCAATGATTCCAAAAATGTTCCAAAGGGACGGTGGAGGCCGACGGACTACGAACGTCTGCCGGAAGTTGATGTCCCAGACGACACCATCCAAGTGATTCTGAGTACACAAGACGAACAGGATATGAAAGATCTGGTGGCTGTTTCCTATGAAGTCAAAAGTCCCTGGTGAGAGACGTTCTGGGAGTTTTGTGGAGTAGAAGAAGCAGACGCCAAACATACTGGCCATCTGTTTAAGATGGTGAGCTATCCCGTCCGTCCACTCACAGTTCCAGATCCTATGGAGAATTGGAATGTTGGACAAAAGATATATTGCACCTGGACCCGAAACTGTTAAGGCTGTCCGTCGTTTGGAATTAAGGTCATGAAGTTTAGCTTTGGACATCGATCCAAAGACGGTACTAAGTATAGCAAGTACTGAACCGAAGTAAAACACGTTCCTCAGAAGAACCGACTCCAAGAAACATTGATCCAAAGAATAATATGTATTATACCGGGAAACTGGAGGATTGATTTAACCAAATGTCAGCTGTGATCCATTAGAATCAGCTGTACACCTGGATCCTCTCCTGAAGTAGAAGTTGGGGTGGGGGGTGGGGGGGGGCTGAAACCTTTCCAACCCCTCATCAAATCAGAATAAACAAAAACTCACCCAAATTATCACTAATTAGTACATGAGTACTCTATTCTCACTTACACATTCTTTATGGATAATCTCATTCACACTCCCTAACAAATCCTCACATTATAGTATATATATCTCACACTTAGATGTAATTTAATGAGGCAACCCAAACATAAATTGTAGACTTGAAGCAACATGTATGAAAATGATGCACTGTATTTTATTAAAAATTTTCACTATTCTTTTTAACCATCAATTCCCAATACATGTAAAATGTGATTGATACCAAAAAAGAGAAGCTCACCCCCTCCGTAAAATTTGGGTGTATAACTTTTGAATGGATGGGGCTATATATGACATTCATAATTTCACAAGTGTATTTCTTTTGACAAGACTTAATTGCTTGCAAATGGACTTGCTTAAAAAACTTTAACCTGGTCACTCATCTTGAAAATATAGGTCAGACCCAGCATCCAAAGCAAGTCTGATAGTGTCCATACCTTGATGCATCATCCATGCCTGAGTTTGGTCCTGACAGGGCTTATAGTTACTAGTTTCTAGTTGAAGTAAGCTTATTTTCAGCATTACGAGTATCTGTGAAATTTTCAATAATCTGACATCAGTTTTTATGAAATTTTTGGTGTCTAATATGTAAAAGTCAATTACTGTAAAGGCCAAAAAAATAACATTTCATGATACTGGTAATATGTACGGCCCATTAAGGAACATAATGGAATTTAATGTTTGGAATGGATTGATGGCATTACTTATAGTAAAGGGTATACAACCATGAAAAACATTTAAAAAAGAAAACTTATTTTCAGAAAGATAGAAATCTTGTTATGGTTGTTCAAGAAGTGGTTGACAATGACTGTAACTGAAAAGAGAATTAGCAGAAATGGTTAGAATAGATTCAGAGAGACCACCCCTAGCTCAATCAGTGTATATCAAAGAGAACCAGATATGATGGTATTTAATGAGACTTCATTTATTTTTAGTTTGGTTTCAAAATATGTGTAACAGCTATCTTCTTAAACTCCATCAAAAATACATTATGCTTGCTGGAAAACATTTTAGATCATCCAGAAGGATTTAGTAACAATGCTAAAAGTCCATTACACAAGGATGGCCAAAAAAATTAACCTTTTACATTTCACTTTGGTAGTCATGAATTTCATTAAATGAGATATCAGATTGAAATTTATAATGTTCAACCCAAGTCCTTCAATACTTCAAAGGTAAATAGCCAATATTTCAGAAGATTGTGCTGAATTTTCTAGTAATGTGCAAAGTCTCAAATTAATTAAATGGGACAACCTTCTGTAAAACCAAAGGCATAAAGGGCTTGAGAGTCATCTGACTCAACTCACACTCTTTTCTCAACTTTGGAAGAAATACAAAGATGATGTTTTAAAGGATGATAAATGTAGTGTTTTGTCATACAGACAGTTAGACAGACAATGATTGAGATATAAGTATGACACTGACCAGACCTGTTTCCTGTCATACAGACAGATAGACAGACAATGATTGAGATATAAGTAAGACACTGACCAGATCTGTTTCCTGTCATACCAACAGTAAGACAGACAATGATTGAGATATAAGTAAGACACTGACCAGACCTGTTTCCTGTCATACAGACAGATACTAGTAGACTGACAATGATTGAGATATAAGTATGACACTGACCAGATCTGTTTCCTGTCATACAGACAGTTAGACAGACAATGATTGAGATATAAGTATGACACTGACAAGACCTGTTTCCTGTCATACAGACAGATAGACAGACAATGATTGAGATATAAGTATGACACTGACCAGATCTGTTTCCTGTCATACAGACAGTTAGACAGACAATGATTGAGATATAAGTATGACACTGACCAGATCTGTTTCCTGTCATACAGACAGACAGACAGACAATGATTGAGATATAAGTATGACACTGACCAGACCTGTTTCCTGTCATACAGACAGACAGACAATGATTGAGATATAAGTATGACACTGACCAGATCTGTTTCCTGTCATACAGACAGACAGACAATGATTGAGATATAAGTATGACACTGACCAGACCTGTTTCCTGTCATACAGACAGACAGACAGACAATGATTGAGATATAAGTATGACACTGACCAGACCTGTTTCCTGTCATACAGATAGACAGACAATGATTGAGATATAAGTATGACACTGACCAGATCTGTTTCCTGTCATACAGACAGATAGACAGACAATGATTGAGATATAAGTATGACACTGACCAGACCTGTTTCCTGTCATACAGACAGATAGACAGACAATGATTGAGATATAAGTATGACACTGACCAGACCTGTTTCCTGTCATACAGACAGACAGACAGACAATGATTGAGATATAAGTATGACACTGACCAGATCTGTTTCCTGTCATACAGACAGACAGACAATGATTGAGATATAAGTATGACACTGACCAGATCTGTTTCCTGTCATACGGACAGACAGACAGACAATGATTGAGATATAAGTATGACACTGACCAGATCTGTTTCCTGTCATACATACAGATAGACAGACAATGATTGAGATATAAGTATGACACTGACCAGACCTGTTTCCTGTCATACGGACAGAGAGACAGACAGACAATGATTGAGATATAAGTATGACACTGACCAACCAGTTTCCTGTCATACCAATAGTAAGACAGGCAATGATTGAGATATAAGTATGACACTGACCAGATCTGTTTCCTGACATACAGACAGACAGACAATGATTGAGATATAAGTATGACACTGACCAGATCTGTTTCCTGTCATACAGACAGTCAGACAGACAATGATTGAGATATAAGTATGACACTGACCAGACCTGTTTCCTGTCATACAGACAGACAGACAATGATTGAGATATAAGTATGACACTGACCAGACCTGTTTCCTGTCATACGGACAGACTAGGGCTGTCACGGTTCCAAAATTTTTCGGGTCGGGTCGGTTCTGATTTTTTGAGGTTCGGTTTCGGGTTTCTCGGGTCGGGTAGGTAATGGAAGAAAAGCTCATGATTTATATTATTTTCAACAATAAAAAGAATATTCTCATTTAATCTTAGAAATTGCAACATTATAACTAGTTAAAAGTAGCCTCCTGACTAGACAACAACTGTACCAAATTATTTTTAAATCACCTTTCAGGGTTTCAGATTGAAATAAGTAACTACAGGACATCTGGCATATTTACCAGAAAAGTTATAGGCCATTCTTTCCTAAACTTCCTAAAATTATAGGCCAATAGAAAAGTTAAACTAACTCAGATTTCTGTCAGACTTTTACAAAATGGTCATTTTATTACATAAAATATTCAAAATTGTATATTAATTTTCCTTTTAATAAGGTGGAAATATTATTTTGTTTCTTTTAAACAAAATTAATATATTGAAACAGAATGGTAATTGTTTTTTTTTTAATTCCATTCAATGGGTATTTAACTTATATTAGTCCCACCTTTCATTACATGTAAATGTATTTATTTCTTGGGATTACAATTTTTAAGAATAGTAATCCAAAAATTAGACTTGTATCTCTGATGATATTCAATGTATAATTACGTTTAAAGATTACCTAGACTATTTTTTTCCCTTTGTAAAACCTTGCAACATTGTCCGTTTCCTGCTATTAGTCCGACCCCATATTCAATCATGGCAGTAAAAATAACAACATGGCATGGATTCCTTCGATGTTTTAAACATTCATCACTACTTTATGCTCCTTGCAGTTGGGTTTGGAAATAAAATTATAGAGTATTTTGTCAAGATCTATTTATACCAAAATGTCATTGGCTGATTGAATCGGCAGTTGCAGAAAGTAGAGAAAAACAATCGGATCTGAATGGAGGAAAAATTATACGACAGGCCTTTACATACAGAAGATAATCGGCATTGTGTCTGTTCAATGTTAAACTTATAGGCCAACATGGCAGGTAAACTTTTATTGGCAAATGGCCAACGCCAATCTGAAACCCTGCCTTTTAATGACAATTTACTAACAAAACTCTCGTTTTTGACGCCATTTTATTTTATAGTAAAATCTACTCCAGTTATACAAATCGGAACCGAACCGAATTCCAGAAAAACGGAACCGTACCCGACCCGAATTAATTGTTCCGCGGTTCCGGGTCATTTCGGGTACCCGTGACAGCCCTAGGACAGACAGACAGACAGACAATGATTGAGATATAAGTATGACACTGACCAACCAGTTTCCTGTCATACCAACAGTAAGACAGGCAATGATTGAGATATAAGTATGACACTGACCAGACCTGTTTCCTGTCATACAGACAGTCAGACAGACAATGATTGAGATATAAGTATGACACTGACCAGACCTGTTTCCTGTCATACAGACAGTCAGACAGACAATGATTGAGATATAAGTATGACACTGACCAGATCTGTTTCCTGTCATACAGACAGATAGACAGACAATGATTGAGATATAAGTATGACACTGACCAGACCTGTTTCCTGTCATACAGACAGACAGACAGACAGACAGACAATGATTGAGATATAAGTATGACACTGACCAGACCTGTTTCCTGTCATACAGACAGACAGACAATGATTGAGATATAAGTATGACACTGACCAGATCTGTTTCCTGTCATACGGACAGACAGACAGACAGACAATGATTGAGATATAAGTATGACACTGACCAGACCTGTTTCCTGTCATACCAACAGTAAGACAGGCAATGATTGAGATATAAGTATGACACTGACCAGACCTGTTTCCTGTCATACAGACAGTCAGACAGACAATGATTGAGATATAAGTATGACACTGACCGGACTGGTTTCCTGTCATACAGACAGATAGACAGACAATGATTGAGATATAAGTATGACACTGACCAGACCTGTTTCCTGTCATACAGACAGATAGACAGACAATGATTGAGATATAAGTATGACACTGACCAGACCTGTTTCCTGTCATACAGACAGTTAGACAGACAATGACTGAGATATAAAAATGACACTGACCAGATCTGTTTCCTGTCATACAGACAGACAGACAGACAATGATTGAGATATAAGTATGACACTGACCAGACCTGTTTCCTGTCATACAGACAGTTAGACAGACAATGACTGAGATATAAAAATGACACTGACCAGATCTGTTTCCTGTCATACAGACAGATAGACAGACAATGATTGAGATATAAGTATGACACTGACCAGACCTGTTTCCTGTCATACCAACAGTTAGACAGGCAATGATTGAGATATAAGTATGACACTGACCAGATCTGTTTCCTGTCATACAGACAGACAGACAGACAGACAATGATTGAGATATAAGTATGACACTGACCAGACCTGTTTCCTGTCATAAAGACAGACAGACAGACAATGATTGAGATATAAGTATGACACTGACCAGACCTGTTTCCTGTCATACAGACAGATAGACAGACAATGATTGAGATATAAGTATGACACTGACCAGACCTGTTTCCTGTCATACAGACAGTTAGACAGACAATGACTGAGATATAAAAATGACACTGACCAGATCTGTTTCCTGTCATACAGACAGACAGACAGACAGACAATGATTGAGATATAAGTATGACACTGACCAGACCTGTTTCCTGTCATACAGACAGTTAGACAGACAATGACTGAGATATAAAAATGACACTGACCAGATCTGTTTCCTGTCATACAGACAGATAGACAGACAATGATGGAGATATAAGTATGACACTGACCAGATCTGTTTCCTGTCATACCAACAGTAAGACAGACAATGATTGAGATATAAGTAGGACACTGACCAGACCTGTTTCCTGTCATACAAACAGACAGACAATGATTGAGATATAAGTAAGACACTGACCAGATCTGTTTCCTGTCATACAGACAGATAGACAGACAATGATTGAGATATAAGTATGACACTGACCAGACCTGTTTCCTGTCATACCAACAGTTAGACAGGCAATGATTGAGATATAAGTATGACACTGACCAGATCTGTTTCCTGTCATACAGACAGACAGACAGACAATGATTGAGATATAAGTATGACACTGACCAGATCTGTTTCCTGTCATACGGACAGACAGACAGACAGACAATGACTGAGATATAAGTAAGACACTGACCAGACCTGTTTCCTGTCATACAAAAAGTTAGACAGACAATGACTGAGATATAAAAATGACACTGACCAGATCTGTTTCCTGTCATACAGACAGACAGACAATAATTGAGATATAAGTATGACACTGACCAGATCTGTTTCCTGTCATACGGACAGACAGACAGACAGACAATGATTGAGATATAAGTATGACACTGACCAGACCCGTTTCCTGTCATACAGACAGTTAGACAGACAATGATTGAGATATAAGTATGACACTGACCAGATCTGTTTCCTGTCATACGGACAGACAGACAGACAGACAATGATTGAGATATAAGTATGACACTGACCAGATCTGTTTCCTGTCATACAGACAGATAGACAGACAATGATTGAGATATAAGTATGACACTGACCAGATCTGTTTCCTGTCATACAGACAGATAGACAGACAATGATTGAGATTTAAGTAAGACACTGACCAGACCTGTTTCCTGTCATACCAACAGTTAGACAGACAATGACTGAGATATAAGTATGACACTGACCAACCAGTTTCCTGTCATACCAACAGTAAGACAGGCAATGATTGAGATATAAGTATGACACTGACCAGACCTGTTTCCTGTCATACAAACAGTTAGACAGACAATGACTGAGATATAAAAATGACACTAACCAGATCTGTTTCCTGTCATACAGACAGACAGACAATAATTGAAATATAAGTATGACACTGACCAGATCTGTTTCCTGTCGTACGGACAGACAGACAGACAGACAATGATTGAGATATAAGTATGACACTGACCAGACCTGTTTCCTGTCATACAAACAGACAGACAGATAATGATTGAGATATAAGTATGACACTGACCAGATCTGTTTCCTGTCATACCAACAGTAAGACAGACAATGATTGAGATATAAGTATGACACTGACCAGATCTGTTTCCTGTCATACCAACAGTTAGACAGACAATGATTGAGATATAAGTATGACACTGACCAGACCTGTTTCCTGTCATACAGACAGATAGACAGACAATGATTGAGATATAAGTATGACACTGACCAGATCTGTTTCCTGTCATACAGACAGATAGACAGACAATGATTGAGATATAAGTATGACACTGACCAGACCTGTTTCCTGTCATACAGACAGATAGACAGACAATGATTGAGATATAAGTATGACACTGACCAGATCTGTTTCCTGTCATACAGACAGATAGACAGACAATGATTGAGATATAAGTATGACACTGACCAGACCTGTTTCCTGTCATACAGACAGATAGACAGACAATGATTGAGATATAAGTATGACACTGACCAGACCTGTTTCCTGTCATACAGACAGATAGACAGACAATGATTGAGATATAAGTATGACACTGACCAGATCTGTTTCCTGTCATACAGATAGACAGACAATGATTGAGATATAAGTATGACACTAACCAGACCTGTTTCCTGTCATACAGACAGACAGACAGACAATGACTGAGATATAAGTATGACACTGACCAGACCTGTTTCCTGTCATACAGACAGGTAGACAGACAATGATTGAGATATAAGTATGACACTGACCAGATCTGTTTCCTGTCATACGGACAGATAGACAGACAATGATTGAGATATAAGTATGACACTGACCAGATCTGTTTCCTGTCATACAGACAGATAGACAGACAATAATTGAGATATAAGTATGACACTAACCAGACCTGTTTCCTGTCATAAAGACAGTTAGACAGACAATGATTGAGATATAAGTATGACACTGACCAGATCTGTTTCCTGTCATAAAGACAGATAGACAGACAATGATTGACATAAGTATGACACTATAACCATATCTGTTTCCTGACATACAGACAGACAGACAATGATTGAGATACAAGTATGACACTGACCAGACCTGTTTCCTGTCATACAGACAGACAGACAGACAATGATTGAGATATAAGTATGACACTGACCAGATCTGTTTCCTGTCATACAGACAGATAGACAGACAATGATTGAGATATAAGTATGACACTGACCAGACCTGTTTCCTGTCATACCAACAGTAAGACAGGCAGTGATTGAGATATAAGTATGACACTGACCGAACTGGTTTCCTGTCATACAGACAGATAGACAGACAATGACTGAGATATAAATATGACACTGACCGGACTGGTTTCCTGTCATACAGACAGTTAGACAGACAATGATTGAGATATAAGTATGACACTGACCAGATCTGTTTCCTGTCATACAGACAGTTAGACAGACAATGATTGAGATATAAGTATGACACTGACCAGATCTGTTTCCTGTCATACAGATAGACAGACAATGATTGACATAAGTATGACACTATAACCATATCTGTTTCCTGACATACAGACAGACAGACAATGATTGAGATACAAGTATGACACTGACCAGATCTGTTTCCTGTCACTTCGTCATATTGGTCCAGAATATCATCCAAACTCTCCAGAGATTCCTGCAAAGCTGCTTCTCTGAAAAACAAAAATATACACTACATTAACACCTTATAACTAATCAATATCTGAAGAGAATAAGAGAGGAAATGTTTTTTTCGAGAATTGTTTTTTTTGCTTTTAACATATTCATTTCTTTTAATAGACAAGCATCAAAAGAATATTGGAATTGAGTTTATCAGAGTTGTCTCTCTTTCAGCATGAGATTAAGTTATCAAATTCAAAATGTTAGACCACATGATATTTGTCTGAACTGTAACAAGAGGTTTATGAGCATGTGTAACTTTTTCTTTTCTCACTTATTAATTTGTAAAAAAAATTATGTCCACTTTGTCCAATCAGAATGAACACTAATTACAGTAAAGCAAGCTTATAAAATGTTATCTTACTATACAGTAATCAGTTTATTATCAATTTATCTTTACAATTAGAAGTGTTGTTTTTTAAACTCTTATTCAATAAGATAAAAAATTATTAACCATTCCCTGACTTGTTTTTCACCCGCTTAACAAAGATGACTGTATTTGAATTTTATATCTATAACCATGTTGTCTTTGAGGGAAAAAAAAGGTTTTGCCCACATGTTTCTTTATCCAAGACCTCTTTTGATTCGTTTTCTGTCCTAAACACCAGAAACTTAATAATTTTAAACAAACACAAATACAGTATCTGCATTTAAATTTGACAATTTGGAAACAATAGTTCTCAAGACCATCAACACGTACCATACTGATTTTTTTACCTTAGATTTTAAGGACTTTTACTCACTCAGGGTTTACTGGATTCTTGTGAACTTTCACCTCATCATGTTCCCGCTGAAACCATATCCAGGAAGTGACCTTATCATGCTGCAGTGCCATCTGGTGACACAATTCTTGGACTTTTGTTTCATTCTTCACCATAGAAATCTTCTGAAGCTCAGCAAATCTTTTCTTGGCCAAATATCTTCTGACAGCTTTAAAAACAATATTAAATCTCAAAATCTTTGGAAAAGCAGATTAGAACATTAAGAAATAGTTTAACTCATCAAAATTCAGACTGTCAGACATGCATGCTCATATTTGCTCTTTTATAAAACTTTGAAAATTAATTGAAATACAAAATTTGACAATTGATTTAAATCAAAATTTACAAAATCTTTATATGATGACTTTGATTGACAGAGATGACAAATAGGATTCAGCGTAATGTGGCTTTATCAATATTCTTTGAGCATCAATTTTCGAGGAATTTGTTGTTTAATTAACAGATCTACAAAATTAAATGTTTATTGACTTATAGAAATATGTTATTCATTTGTATAGGCAATGTTTTTGTCCACAAAATTACATATCCTTGAAAAAGTCATTTTTACAAAATACAGGAAAATTGCTGCCAATGAAAATTGATAAAACCACAGTATCTGAAAAGGATCTGATCCTGGACTATGATGACCTTGACCTATTTGATCTTGACTAAAATAACCCTCCCTTACCTGATTGACAAAGGACAATTTTCTTCTTGACTTCATTGGACACTTGGTCAATTTTCCTTAAATCTTCCTCATGGAAAAACACCTTAGATTTTCCAATCTAAAAAGATTCAAAGATAAAACATAAACTAGAACTGTCCAAACGGGACAAAATACCCCCCGCTGGGTTTTTCAGAAGTAAGTTTTTCCATAAGAAAGATATGGACAGGACACGAATTATGAAATTTTTCTTCCAGCGACCTTGAACTTCCCCAAATGACCTTGGGTCAAGGTCAAGACATACCCTTGGGTCATGGGCAATCTTTATGTGAAATGACAACCTACCAAGTTTATCCATAGGAAAGATATGGACTGGACACGAATTATGATTTTTTTCTTCCAGTGACCTTGAAATTCCCCGAATGACCTTGGGTCAAGGTCATGACACACCCTTGAGTCATGGTCTATCTTTCTGTGAAATGAAAACCTACCAAGTTTATCCATAAGAAAGATATGGACAGGACACGAATTATGAAACTTTTCTTCCAATGACCTTGAACTTCCCAAAATGACCTTGGGTCAAGGTCATGACACACCCTTCGGTCATGGGCAATCTTTGTGTGAAATGAGAACCTACCAAGTTTATCCATCAGAAAGATATGGACCAGACACGAATTATGAAATTTTTCTTCCAGTGACCTTGAACTTTCCCAAATGACCTTGGGTCAAGGTCATGACAAACCCTCGGGTCATGGTCTATCTTTTTGTGAAATTAAAACCTACCAAGTTTATCCATCAGAAAGATATGGACCGGACATGAATTATGAAATTTTCTTCCAGTGACCTTGAACTTCCCCAAATGACCTTGGGTCAAGGTCATGACACAGACTTGGGTCATGGGCAATCTTTGTGTGAAATGAAAACCTACCAAATTTATCCATCAGAAAGATATGGACCAGACATGAAATATGAAATTTTCTTCCAGTGACCTAGAACTTCCCCAAATGACCTTGGGTCAAGGTCATGACACAGCCTTGGGTCATGGGCAATCTTTGTGTGAAATGACAACCTACCAAGCTTATCCATAAGAAAGATATGGACAGGACACGAATTGTGAAATTTTTCTTCCAGTGACCTTGAAGTTCCCCAAATGACCTTGGGTCAAGATCATGACACACCCTTGGGTCATGGGCAATCTTTATGTGAAATGAGAACCTACCAAGTTTATTCATAAGAAAGATATGGACCGGACACAAATTATGAAATTTTTCTTCCAGTGACCTTGAAGTTCCCCAAATGACCTTGGGTCAAGGTCATGACACATCCTTAGTTCATGGGCAATCTTTCTGTGAAATGAGAACCTACCAAGTTTATTCATAAGAAAGATATGGACAGGAAACGAATTATGAAATTTTTCTTCCAGTGACCTTGAAGTTCCCCAAATGACCTTGGGTCAAGGCATGACACACCCTTAGGTCATGGGCAATCTTTGTGTGGAGTAGTAGATTCTAATGTCCCTCTGTAAGAAAGATATGGACCGGACACGATTGCACAGACAGACGGACAGACAGCTAGACGGACGGATGGACAGACGGACAAGGTGATTCCTATATACCCCCCCAAACTTCGTTTGCGGGGGGTATAATAACATGTTTGAAAATTATAATCATCACAAAGATTCAAGTCCCATTAGCATTAATGGCCAAAAAATTTCCAATTGGTGCTTTCTGTCAATTTTGCATCAAAAGGTATTCTGAAATTGTTTATAATAATTTTAATTTTCATACTGTTAGGAAAATATACCATAAAAGCAAAAAGTTTACAAGTGTAAACAGATTGAGAGATGATTAATCTTGAGAGATATGTACAAGAAATTAAGGTCAGACAATACGTTCCCCAGATTTCTGTTTTGTATATCTTTACAATGTATGAAAAATATATAAAATGTTGACTTTAAACCAGTATTTAATCGTTTTTAAAAATTTGAAACACTAAAAATGTGATTTTGGACATTTTTTTTTCTTCGAAAAAGATTACCGATATATAAGAAATGCTATCCTCTAGCTGGTATCTTGCACAAATGCCTGGTAAGGTACCTCAATTTTTTGTGAGTAATCACGTTAAAGCAGCAATACTTCAATGACTAAATATTGAAAAAAAAAATTTATATTTTTGAGGAACGTCTTGTCTGTCCTTAAGTTCATGTGATACATGTCTTTTTATTCAAAACAAAATTTTAATCCATGTGGAAAAATGCTCCAAACAACAGAATTAAATTACATAATTTTCTATTTTATTTACTTATCAATTTAGATTATTTATTTGCCTATTTATTTTATTCCTTTCTTCCTCTTCTTTTTTTTTAACTTTCTATGGGGAATATGTAATCTTACAATTTTTTTTTATAATTATTTTTTCATAAATTTCTCTTTTTTATTTTTTATCTATTTATTTATTTTATACTTTTGTTTTTTTTTTTCTCTTCTCGTCTTTTTTAAATTTATTTTTATTTCTTTTTATTTTTTTTGCAAATTAACTACTGCAGTAACTAAAACTTTCCAACAAGTTTATGAAACCAACAGGGTTTTTCCAAACGATTCTGATAAATCGGGAACTCCTACACAGACAATAGTTGTGTTACCTTGTGACTGGCAGAGTTTGTGTTGAGTCCACAGTAGCGGATGACTTCCTGACATTTCTGTTCGTCGGGGATCATGCTGTGAGGTGGTACAAGGAAGGTCCTCAGTGTCTCATACCTGTCACCACATAGCAAAATAACTTTAATATAGGTGGCAGATAAGGAAACAAAGTTTCTATTTTTTAAAACAAAGGGAAAAATTAAAATAGAATCTTAATCTTCTGTTTTCTTTTAACACAGTTTTTTTACAGCAAGCTACATGACTGATCATATCCAATTTTATATTCTGGAGATAAAGTTTACCGTCAATACAATATTCAAAATTATCATGACAATATCCAACATATAATGTACAGCAAAATTAAAAAAAAAACACTATAACTAAAGAAAAAAGTAAAAGGAATGGTTAAATAGTTAATGACGTTTTTGGTACTACCAGGTAACTAAAAAGTCACGCAAGTCAGGAGTAGCATTTATGGTGACCCTGCAACTTTTTTTCTATACACAACTTGAAAATCCCTGTACTTGAGTAGAAGTATTCATTGTTAACTGAGCAGTATCTATAATGGTAACCATATTAATTTCTCCTAATATTTACATTTCTATAAAGTCCCTGAACTTTAGTTGAGAACAATATCCATGGTAACCATATTATTTTCCTTACTTAAGTCAGGAGCAGTATCCACGGTAACCCTGGTTAATACTTATACTACTAGGAAATCCCTGAACTTGAGTCAGGAACAGTATCCATGGTAACCCTGGTTAATACTTACACTACTAGGAAATCCCTGAACTTGAGTCGGGAACAGTATCTATGGTAACCCTGGTTAATACTTACACTACTAGGAAATCCCTGAACTTGAGTCGGGAGCAGTATCTATGGTAACCCTGGTTAATACTTACACTACTAGGAAATCCCTGAACTTGAGTCGGGAGCAGTATCCATGGTAACCCTGGTTAATACTTACACTACTAGGAAATCCCTGAACTTGAGTCGGGAACAGTATCCATGGTAACCTTGGTTAATACTTACACTACTAGGAAATCCCTGAACTTGAGTCGGGAACAGTATCCTAACCCTGGTTAATACTTACACTACTAGGAAATCCCTGAACTTGAGTCAGGAATAGTATCCATGGTAACCCTGGTTAATACTTACACTACTAGGAAATCCCTGAACTTGAGTCAGGAACAGTATCCATGGTAACCCTGGTTAATACTTACACTACTAGGAAATCCCTGAACTTGAGTCGGGAACAGTATCCATGGTAACCCTGGTTAATACTTACACTACTAGGAAATCCCAGAACTTGAGTCGGGAGCAGTATCTATGGTAACCCTGGTTAATACTTACATTACAGGCGCGGATCCAGAAATTTTTTCCAGGGGGGGTCCACCCAGTTCAAAAAAAAAAATCTAATCCCAGAAATTTCTTGACAAGCAAAAAAAAAAAAAAAAAAAAAAAAAAAAAAAAAAAAAAAAAAAAAAAAACCTTAACTCGCCCAAACATGAAAAACCTATTTCGGGGGGGGGGGGGGGGGGGGGGGGGGGGGGGGGGGGGGGGGATGGGGGGGGGTAGTAAAAACTTCTATTGCTGCCTCAAATCTATCACATTTCATACCCATTTCAAACATATACATGTTCACCAGGGGGGGTCTGCATTTTCAAGGGGGGGGGGGGTCCAAGGTGACTTTTCTCTCATGCTTCAGTATATACATTTTTCAACCGTGGAAATTCCAGGGGGGGGTCCTGACCCCCCCGACCCCCCCTCTAGATCCGCGCATGTACTACTAGGAAATCCCTGAACATGAGTCAGGAATAGTATCCATGGTAACCCTGGTTAATACTTACACTACTAGGAAATCCCTGAACTTGAGTCAGGAAGAGTATCCATGGTTACCCTGGATAATACTTACACTACTAGGAAATCCCTGAACTTGAGTCGGGAGCAGTATCCATGTTTCTTGATCTTGATCGTCTCTGTGATCCCGGTGTACCTCATCTGAGCCAGCACGTATTCTGGGACAAAATGGAGGGGTTTCCTGTCAATGTTAGGTCGGATACAGCGTATAATTTGTGGAGTGGCTGTCTGGATCTTTGTCATCAAGTCTGATAAGGAGTTCTAAAACAAAATAATTTGTTCAGGATCAAATTGACATTGGTATTGTGTACTGTAAAGAACTCTTCTAAACTCATCTCATAGATCTTTCTTTTTTTTTTAATTTTTTAATTTTTACATATATTGATTATACAAGAGTTAATTGATTCCAAAAGTAATGTCACTGTGTCCGTATCTTTAATACTTGGCATCATATTATCAAATATAATGTACCAAAAGATGCATAAAAATAAATCTAATCAAAATTGAAAATTTCATTTCATAATGTTTACCGTAATTCATTTTATAGATGTTTAAAACATTAAACATAGGGGTGTTGCCGCGTCACAACTAAATGTCACGTTTTAAAGTGTAGTTTGTTGGAATGAAAAAAGACAGACACATTTAAAAAAGCATCTTAAAAAGCATCTAATCCACCAAACATTTGAAAGACAAAATTTACTACATTTTCTAGTCTTTAATTAAACAATAAATGACTCTAAATTAATCTCTTAAAGTTCAATGAATCTTCATAAAAGTTTGAGAGATTGAGAGGTTTGACAGATCAAAGGAAAAGAATCTTTCTGACATCACAGAGAAATTACGTCGAACGTTTATGACGTTCGACGAACCTGTATTTACTGTAAATGTATTATATTTGATGGAAATTCATTTTTGAACAGGTTAGCGTAGATTTGATTTAGCGCAATCTGAATGTGTTAGATATACCTGTTTGATATACAAGGCATTTAGCGATGTACTTGATTTAGCGGACTCTGCGTACCGCCAAAATCGCTAATCAGAATACACCGCTAAATGTAATACGTTTACAGTATTAGGGATGCATGGCAGTAGAATACAGAATTGCTAATCCGTTAACCAAAATACGTTCTGACTGATTAACCTATTTTTAACACATTTTTTTTCCCAAACTTTGTACACTTTTTCTGGAATAGCTACACTGCATACTGTCATAACATTACGTGATCCAAGTTTATGAGACGCTTTATAAGTGTATTTTAAAGTACGAGGGTTTATCAAAAAGTTCGTGGACTGAGGCTATAAAATCAGCACTATGTTGTCTGAGCTTACAAAATTTATAAGGAACATAAAACAACAACAAAAAAAGAAATATTGAAAATTCTATCTTGATACGTTCATTATTTCCCAAATTATTGTAAAATAAAAATGACATTATATGATCACCCGGCGCCATCACCTTTTAGTTTCATGATGTCCGACAAGTCATTCTTTTTCAATGTCCGCTTCTACCTTGTACACTTATATTTATACACAACATGACACCCTGATAAGGTTCAGATTTATTAAGTTGAACCAATAAATATATACATTTTAACACTACATACACAGCATATTTACATTACAAAAGAGCAAAATAACAATATTGATGAGATTCCCTAGAGCTGAGTAAGTACTTCAATCCATCTTGTTTATATGACTTAACAATGTCATGAACAGCGGCTTTCAATGCATATACATTATTGCAAATGGATTTATATACTGGGAGAGATCCTCGCTTGATTGTGCCAGCATATTTTGTTTTTTGGAATTCAATATAGCTAAAACACATGATCAACGTCATTATTTGACATGATTAATTTTTAAAACCTTGACTACAAATCGACATTAACTCTGCATTCCTTTTCTCTCTGAATTTTTTTGGCATTAAAAACAAGTAATCTGGATGCATATTATAATTTTCTCCATAGCCAGTTTAAACATTTCCTATGTGTATACCAGTGTTTCCAGAGACAAAAGTTTATAGAATGTTGGAAAAGGAACCCCCCCTCCCTTTTTGACATCATTTCACGGCAATATTTTTTTGGAATACTCCATGTAAAATTTATGACAAAGTTTCATAGAACTTCCAGAATGAGGTAAAAATACCATATTTTATGGGCCATTAGTGTCCCAACACACACCTGAATTAATGGGATTTTTGGATGTCAAATTCTCATATCAAAATAGTTTTTCTTAGTTACACTTAGGTGGAAAAAACATCGTTTTCGAGGTTGTGTCGCCTGGACATACCATTGCTTACAAAAACATTACTAATTTATTGAAAAATAAAATTATGATTTGTGGTTTATTCTATAGATAGAAAGATGATTTTAACTACCGGTAGATGTTTTAAAAATCATTGATGTACTAAAGCAGTTTTAATTTTATGGCGCTAGTCCACAAACTTTTTGATAGCCCCTCGTATATGTCTTCAAACATTTTCTTTACAGAGAATCTTGATAAATGTAAATCTCAATCACAATCTTTAAAATGAATGTTGCAAGGACAAAGAAATGCGAACGATAGTATTGTTCTCCTGAATACCTCAGAGTCAATTTTCAAAAGTTAAGATATTCATATGATTTTTAATATGTATATTTAATGGATTTTCATAAAACATTTTTTATTTGGGAAAACAATGAGAGATAACTCTAGAATTTTTGTAAAACTCGTTCACTATAGAAATCAATGGAAAACTGAAACATTTTCTTCCCCTGCGGGAATCAAGGGTTAGCACTCCTACTTCTTTTCTCAGTTGTGAAATTGCGAGTTAATTTTAATTTCTAGTCTCAAAATTTTTTTTTGGTCACAAATTCGACCATTTTAAACGTAACTTGGAGCGCTGGTTTAAGGGCTAGATACTTTGTTAATTTCAGTTTTAAGCATTTAGATACCTTTGTATCGCTTATTCTTTTATACCCTTGGTAGTTTATTGTAAATTTATGATAGATGATGATTTACAAAATCCAATCTACATTTTGGTTATGAAATTAATAACATTAGGAACTTTAAATTGTTGTTGACAATGATGGGACAACAAGGAAACAACTTAATTCAGCTCCTGAACCACCTCTTTGCCAGACGAGATAATGTTATTGATTATTCAATTCACTAATTGGCATCTATTACTGTAGTACTCATCTAATAAAAAAAGAATTCGAAGAAATACCATCTAAAAGTATGTCTGAGAATTTTGGTATACTGTAAGTTGTTTTAATTCCACGGTGTTAAAATTTCATGATATCTCAAAAAGTACCAACTGCGATGGTTTTAATTTGACGCTACAAGAAATTAATTCACAATTTCGTATAAGCATTTAAACGTTTTTAAAAATTAACAATGACATTCACGGTGGGTTTAATTTTGCGGAAAAATAAATCACGAACATAGCGAAATTAAAACCATATTGATTATTTGCCAATTTGCAGTATTTTGCTTAGAAAAATAACAAATTTTTTTCATATGTTATCTTTCCAAAACCCCTGGTAATATATTCTGATTTTTTATCTAAGAATATTTTAGTGGACCTTCATTTTAGATTAAAAATTTCTAGAAAAACTTAACCAACAGGTAATGTACGTTACAAATGACCTTGGAGAATTCCATTTCCTTTACATATAGACCAAGTCTATGATTAATTCTTTTGTGCACACTACTGAAAAAGATCTGTTTCACTATTTATAGTAAAAAGTTCTATTTGTGTATATCTATACTAGTCTGCATAAAAATTTTCTATACTAGTCTGCATAAAAATTTTGAAGACAAAGAAAAAATACCAGGAACTTTGGTGATAAAAGGAAACCCAAAAAACTTCTGGTATTATAATCAATAAGGCAGCAGGAAGAAATAACAGAACAAAGTCAGCAACAGTGGAGTGTGTATCCTTTGCTGCTCCCTCAAACTGACAATGGCTTCCAATTCATCATCAGACATGTAAGTAAATCCGAATAAAATCTACAATTCAGAGAGGTCTTGTCATTAAAGCTTGTAGTTAAATGAAAGAAATTTCTCTTTTTTTTCAGTGAGCTAGCTATATGCAACATTTGTCAGAGTCGGTATACGAAGGACTGTGCTGTATTGTAGGAACCTCACGAGTTGTAGCCATGAGGAGAGATGTGGTGGATATTGTGGAGATAGTAGGAAACCAATTACTAAAGAATTTTCATAAAATGTTAAGTGGAAGTCAGAAAGAAGGCTTACGATTGAAAGGATCTGACTTTGACAACATGATATGGACAACACACGACAAAGTGATATGGAATTTATCTCAGACTAGATATCATCAGGAAGTTAGACAAAGATTAATTCTAGCGGATGTCAGACATAGTCCTCCAGGATTCGCTTTACTTCAGGCATTGATTATACCCAGAGAAAATAAATTTGATATTTCAGAACCAGTTTTTATTTCATTGGTCTTTATGAAAGGTATATAGTACATTTCTAGTTCAAAATACATACAGAATTTCGGTAGTTGGCTTGACTTTACAGATAAACCTGATTCTTTTATGCATGGTCCATGTGTCAGTGGAGTGAGTTATAACGGTGTAGAATATGATTTTGCCTACTGTTTTGCTAGTGATTTTTGGCCTCCATCTGCTTCCTCATGGATTGACAGATGTCACTCTTGGCCCCAGCCTGCTGTTGTTAATGATGTAGTAAAAAGTGGATGTCACTTTGTACCAATTGGACATAAACTAGGAAACCATCCAGATGAAGAATGGAGAATTTCTTTCTCTCTGGCAGAACAAAAACTTGTCTATGCAATGAACCATTGTCAATTACTTGTGTATGGACTCCTTAAAATATCATTAAAGGAAGTATTTTACATAATGCTTGGGAATAGCTGTAACTTACTGTGTTCCTATCATATGAAGACAGCAATATTCTGGGTGCTCCAACAAAACTTTATTCCTTACTGGCATCCACAAAATCTCCTGGAGTGTTTCTGGGTATGCTTTAAGCTCATCCTTAAATGGGTCTACGAGGGTATCTGTCCTAACTTTTTTATTCCAGAAAACAACATGTGTCTTCAAAATATCTATGGTGAAGCACAAAAGAATTTATTCAATGGATTACATACACTCTATCTGAGGGGAATATCATTTCTGCTATTCAGTCCCTCAATTAGGCCTTATCTTGTTATTTATGTTCTTCAAAATCCTAGACTCTACATTTGTACAGATGAATGTACTATCATTTCTGAGTTTGATTTTGAAATGAAACTATTTAAGGAGATTAAGGGACAAGCAAGATTACATGTACCTGTAGCAGACTTCAATACATTTATGAAAGCCTTAAACATAATAGAACAACTCTATATCAATGGTTCTTCCCTCTCTCCATACCATTTTTTTACATTAAAGAGACTTAGAGTGGTGGCACTTCAAAATACTACTTTCTTATTACACATGCACATTAACTCTGGTGCAATTAACAAATTGAGGTATAGTGCTGACAAATTAGCCCGAAATATGCTTAAATTAGCAGCCAAGACTGACTGTATTTCTGACCTGTTGTACCTTGGAATTTATTATTACAAGACATTTAGATTTAAGGAAGCTTTATCTGTTATAAAAAAGACAAAAGACAAGTTAGCACAACCTTATTTGGTGTATGAAAGTTATACCGAAGCTTTTGGAGAACATACTTGGTCTGCAACAATGAGAGAGACTCGAGCAATTGAAATAATACTTTTCAATAAAATCTGTTATATCAATGAATTAATGCCAGAACAAGAGTCTAGTTTACAGAATAGATCAGGAGTATTAGTGATTAATGTCCACATATTTTCACACATGTTAGAATTCTTTTGCTATTGCAACATTGACCCAATAAAAGCAAAATCAGCATTAGATGATCTTCAAAACATTGTATACAATTATCAGGGGTTTAACCATAAAGAATTGAGGGACATTGTCTGGCAAATTCTTGGGATATGCCAACAGATGGCAGGGGAGCTGCAGGCTGCTCTACACTCTTACCAACAATCCCTCCAGTATAAATACCACGGAATACAAAGAGCTACACTAATGAGAGTACAAAGTCTACACTGTGAAGGTGGTCTATAAACTCAAGGAGTGAAAGTGAAAACATGTTCCAACATTTCCATGTGATTCCAAGGTAATCATATACGGGTTGAAGAATCCTTCAAATTCATGGGAATTCAAAAACCATATGCAATGATCAAGCATCAATAGAAAACAAAATGATTAAAAAACTGACATAGTCAGAGAGGCCAAGGGCTGTTAAAAGACTAAGAAGACATACATGTACATTCAGACTTACATGTGCGTGTATACAGACAAAGTGATATGACCGATAAATTTATAACAACCTGTCTCTTATTGTAAAGTTCTTTTGTGTAAAATTTTGTGAAAATGTATCTTAAGTTTGAAAACTGTTTGAGTTATCAGGTCAAACCAAAAGTGTTGAAGATCAAATAAAAAGACAGAAGGACAGCTGATGGACAATGTGATTCCTATAACCCCTCAAAACTTAGTTTGCAGGGGGTATAATAAATAAAAAAAGGTTTATTTCAAAGTATCATGTTGCAAAATATTTCATCCGAGGTATCCTTAGATATACTCATGTTGATTTAACATCTCTTTTCATTCCTCAATTAGAGTTTCAGAATAACTGCAACAATGACTTTGAGAGGTTACACTCTTAATTAAAAATAGACTTCACAACCCTATAAGGATTTTCAGGCATGTTAATATTGACTTAATAGTAGGTGGAATGTATAAACCCATACTAAAATTCATACAACTCTGTTATAAAATTTAGGGCTGGGTATTGGCCCAAGATTTCGTATTGCGATATATTGCGATATTTTAAACTGTATTGCGATATGTATTGCAATATTTTTAATGTAATTTAAATGGCATTTTCTTACTATGTTTAATTAAATTTACATGCAGAATGTACATAACTATGATAAATAACCAACGCGTAAAAAAATCTTGTTGATTTCATTTAAGTTATATTCTGAAATGTTCCTACAAAGCAACTTCTGTCTTACTGTTTGGCTTAAGAACAAACTTTCATACATTCATTTCTATATTTAATGACAAAATTCCTAAATCTAAGCATATTGCTAATATATCGATATTACAAAATCGTATTGCGATAAGATATTTTCGTCATTGTATTGCAATATATTGAAATAGCGATATTATTGCCCAGCCCTAATAAAATTATGAATATAAAAGAATGTATAGAAAATTATTTGGACATATGCACCCCACTAAAGACTTTCTTTCCAAAAGTAACCCTGTATCATTATCTTTTGCACAATATATCTCCTACTAGTCTGTAAATAGACAGCTATGGACAGATGGATGATCAGAAAAGCTCAACTGAGCTTTAATCAACTCAGGTGAGCTAAAGGCCTTCTCATCATTACTTGCACCTAATAAATCTAGCAATCTAATTAAAATTAGATGTTAGATCCACTCGCATACTTGCCACACTAACATCTAACAACATCTCATAGAGGATCATGTCAGCTAGAGGTCAAATTCGGAACAGCTCTAGACTTATTGGCCTCAACAATATACAATGATTTTGCAGGCAACAATTTGATTGGCTGAAGGAATCTGACCTCTGACGTGACCCTCTTTGGGATGTTGTTAGATGTTAGTGTAGTGAGTATGCGAGCGGATCTAACATCTACAGGGTGGTGACAAAAGTGAGTAAAATTTCCGCCATTTTGAATTCTGATTTCCGAAATCGCGCTAATGCAAATAAAGTATTCAATACATATACAGCTTCAAAAGTTGTTGTTGTCATTTATAAGAATGATTTTTGGTACGACTGTGTAAGCTCTTCAGTGTAAGGAGGTACAAGCGTCTGTTTCTACTTTAGACCGCCATTAGTTTACAATGGATACGAAACGACAGGAAATCAAAGAGACAAAAACAATTATTTTGGAGTTAATTGACAGCGGTTTCAAACAAAGTGAAATATCTAAAGTATTGAAAATAAGTCCAGCAACAATATGTAGGTTTTTGAAGTGGTATCAAGACAGCGGGTCTATTGAAAACCGCCATCAATCTGTGATTAGTCAAAAATTTTCTAGTTCATGGGGAAGTAATTTTGTTCACATGTTGTGTTGTGGTACATCTCTTGCTTATCATGTAAATGGTCCCGGGTTCAAATCCTGGACATTCCATATTCTTTTTTTTTAAATATATTTTCAGGTCACCTGAGTAACTCAGGTGACCTATTGCTATCTGTTTTCGTCCGTCGTCATGCGTCGTGTGTCGTGTGTTAACATTTGAACATTTTCATCTTCTTCTCTGCAACCACTGACCCAATTTCAACCAAATTTGGCACAAAGCATCTATGGGTGAAGGGGAACAAAAATTGTGAATTTCATGGTCCCTGCCCCCCTGGGGCCTGGGGGGTGGGGCAAAAACCACTAAAATTAATGCAATCTTGAAAAATCTTCTTCTTTACTCCTGGACATCAAGCAGGCAAACTGTTGGCATGAATGTAATGAGCATTGAGTCCTCTACCAAAATTGTGAAATTCATGGCCCCAGGGTCAGGGGTTCTAGTGCTAGGGTGGGGCTACATAGATTATATAGTGAAAATGCATTATTTCTTTGAAAATCTTCTTCTCTGCTACTGGGTATTAAATAAACTAACTAAGAACATAATAATGATGAGCAAGAGTGCCTCTTCCAGATTTGTGAATTTTATGGCCCCAGGGTCAGGGGTTCTGGTGTTAGGGCGGGGCTCTATAGATTATGTATTAAAAATGCATTTAATCTTTGAAAATCTTCTTCTCTGCTTCTGGATATCAAATAAACTAACTAAGCACATAGTTATGATGAGCAAGAGTGCCTTTTCCAAAATTGTGAATTTTATGGCCCCAGGGTCAGGGGTTCTGGTGTTAGGGTGGGGCTCTATTGATTATATAGTAAAAATACAATAATTCTTTGAAAATATTTTCTTTTGCGTCTGGGTTTTATGCCAACGATTCAAGTATATATATTTATGATGAACAAAGGTGCATCTAGCAACGTGGTTTTTTTAGGCCCCCAGGGTCAGAGGGGGGGGGGGTTACATAGTCTGAAAATAAATTAATGCTTTGAAATCTGCTCTTTGGTATTAATAAACCATTTTATGATAAAATTTGCAAAATTTTGAAATATGTGGCCCCTGGGTCAGTGGTTCCTTTGGGGTGAGGTGCACAACTGGGTATAAAGTGGAAGTGCATTTTCTCTTTGTTACAATTATGCTGTATAATTTGAATTCCTCCCGTTTTAAATTTGCCCAATCAAGAAGAGGGCAAAAGGGGGAAAATAAAATGGAGGCGAAAATTTCCCTGTATACAGTATATTTAAGAACTCATAATTTTAAAGAAATAGAATATATTGTGTCTATGAAAATTTTGGTCAGTATTGGTTGCATCTTAACAAAGTTATAAACATTGTCTACGACTTTTTCGGACAACCCTCATATATATTTAATAATTGTACAAATTCAGTCAGGGGGGATACAGTCCCCAAATCCCCCAACTGTGCATGTTCTTCTTTTTCCCTAAGCGGGGGACACAATGAAAAATATCAAAGAAAAAAGGCTGGCTTCATATGCTGAAAACTCTCAAATTTCATCATCTTTTGCTGTACTAGTACTCTTCTAACAAAAATAGAAGAAATACCACTGTTACAACGCACTTTGAAAAATTACGCACTTTGAAAAATTTTTTCAAAGTGCATTAATTTTTGGGACCAGGTTAACGCACTTTGAAAAATTTTTTCAAAGTGCGTTGAATTTGGGACCAAATCAACGCACTTTGAAAAATTTTTTCAAAGTGCGTTAAAACTGTACATCATAATTTTACACCATGTAAACATTTAACGCACTTTGAAAAAATTTTCATGAAACAAAAGGAATTAGACTTATATTTTAGAAATAGACAACAGTATTATCCCCTTGCAACGTATGATGGGATATAGTGATGCGATTATGTGTGTTATTACTTTATGTGTATGCTAGTTTTTTCTGTGTGGAATTGACGTAATTTGTATCGGGATCTTTTTTGGGAAGGAATGCTCCGCTTTGCGGTGCCCTTACTTTGATGTGTTTTTTTCTAAAAACTGATGGATTGAAGAAAACCAAGAAACGGAAAACGAAGAAAAGACTGGCTGAATTAAGGTCTATCAGCTCAACAAATTGAAATTTTGTTCTTTTAAATCTCAAAGTCTATTTATGTTCATTTTCAGGAAAATCAGAATTTTAATAACTAGCTGTAAATTCCTTATTTTTCGCGAGTAATTTTTATCGCGAACTGGCTCTCAAACGTCAAATCGCTAGAATTATAATTCGCGAATGAACGGTTTATTAACAGATTTTACATAGATTTAAGCACCAGAAAAATAAAAGCGAGAAATATTTTTTTTCGTGAGTGTGATTCTCGCGAAATTAAGCAAAAATCAATTCCTCGCTTATATTAAGGAATCTACAGTACCTGTCTGCTTTTCGATGTTAATTTGATACCATATCTGATAATCTCTCTGTTAAACTCCAGGTGTTTAAAAACACAAGTTTTGCCAAAATTATAGAGTTATTTCTCTTTGGTATCCCAAATAAGTAAGGTTTTATGAAAATTCATATAAATATCTATAAATTTTTTTAGAATCATTCCAATATGTTAACATTTGAGAATTGACTAAGAGATAGGCGGAAGAACAATACTATCGTTCGTAGTTCTTTACGACATTGAATGTTGACCTTTTGACCCCAAATTCAAAAGGGGTCTCCCTAAGGCCACAGGGATTCTGTTATGTTAAATTTCATTGCAAATGTTCAAAGGGTTGGCGAGATATCGTGTGGAAACGAAAGCGTTACAGAAAGACGGATGGACGGACATCTAGACAGACAGATAGACCCAAATTAATATCTCCCACTTTTCAAGCTGGGACAAAAAGTATCAAATCAGGTTCAAATGATAATTTATCATACCTAAGATTTGTAGGAATATTCATTCAATATTGACTAAGCCATGCAGAATTTTTTTTTCAAAGTGCGTTAATATGGTCGATATTAACGCACTTTGAAAAAAAAATTATTTTTTCAAAGTGCGTTAACCTGGTCCCAAAATTTAACGCACTTTGAAAAATTTTTTCAAAGTGCGTAATTTTTTCAAAGTGCGTTGCCACATACCATCTAAAATCATATTTGAGAATTTTGCTTTTCATGTATTTTGCATAGAAAATCACCAAGTTTTCATCATTTGTTATCTTTCCAAAACCCCTATAGTTAATATATTCTGATTTTCTTAGAAAGAATATGTTAGTGGCCTGGAGCTTCATTTTAAATTCTTGGAAAAATACCAAGAACAGGTAATGTACATTGCAAATTACTTATTAAGTATTTGATAATTTTCCTTTACATATAGACCTAGTCTATTATTAATTCTTTTGTGCAAGCTAGTGAAAAAGATCTGTTACTATTTATAGTAAAAAGTTTTATTTGTGTATATCTATTCTAGTCTGCATAAAAATTTTAGAGACAAAAAATAATATCAGCTAGGGGAAAAGGGTGATAAAAGGAAACCCAAAAAACTCATGGTATTATGATTAATAAGACAGCAGGAAGGAAAAATACAAAGCAAGTCATTAACAGTGGAGTGTGCATCCTAAGCTGCACCCTCAAACTGACAATGGCTTCCAATTCATCATCAGATATGTAAGTAAATCTTAATAAAATCTACAATTCAGAGAGGTCTTGCCATCAAATCTTGTAATTAAATGAAAGAAATTTCTTCTTTTTTTTTTTTTTCAGTGAGCTAGCTATGCAACATTTGTCAGAGTCGGTATACTTAGGACTGTGTCATAAAGTGGGAACCTCACGAGTTGTAGTCATGAGAAGAGATGTGATAGACATTGTAGAGATAGTGAACAATCAAGTATACAGGGACTTTCATAAAATGCTAAGTGGAAGTCAGAGAGAAGGATTTAAATTAAAAGGAGCTGATTTTGACACTATGATATGGAGAAAAGAGGACAAAGTGATATGGAATTTATCTCAGACTAGGCATTATCAGGAAGTCAAAAATGTAGAAGGAGTAGTTGTGAAATTAATTCTTGCGGATGTCAGTCATAGTCCTCCAGGATTCACATTACTTCAGGCATTGATACCCAGAGTAAATACAATAATATGTATTCCAGAAGCAGTTTTTATGGCATTGGTCTTTATGAATGGTAGATATTACATTTCTAGCACAAAATACAGACAATATAGTAGTTGCCTTGACTCTATTAATGCACGTGCTTCTTTTATGCATGGTCCATGTGTCAGTGGGGTGCTTTTTGATGGTGAAGAATATGATCATGCCCACTGTTTTGCCTGTGACTTTTGGCCTCCCTCTGCTTCCTCGTGGATTGACAGATGTCACTCTTGGCCCCAGCCTGCTGTTGTTTATGATGTAGTAAAAAGTGGATGTCACATTGTACCAATTGGACATAAACTAGGAAACCATCCAGATGAAGAATGGAGAATTTCTTTCTCTCTGGCAGAACAAAAACTTGTCTACACGATGAACCACTGTCAATTACTAGTGTATGGACTCCTTAAAATATCATTGAAAGAGATATTTCATGAAATACTTGGAGAAAGTAGTAAGTTATTGTGTTCGTATCATATGAAGACAGCAGTATTCTGGGTGCTCCAACAAAACATAGTACCCTACTGGCATCCAAAAAATCTCCTGGAGTGTTTCTGGGTCTGCTTCAAGCTCATCCTTAAATGGGTCCATGAGGGGGTCTGTCCTAACTTTTTTATTCCAGACAACAACATGTTTCTTCATAATATCTATGGCGAAGTACAGAAGAATTTATTCAATGAACTATATACACTGTATCAGAGGGGAATATCATTTCTGCTGTTCAGTTCCTCAATTAAGCCTTATCTTGTTAACGTTCTTCAGAGTCCTAGACTGAACATTTGTACAGATGAGTGTACTATAATTTCTGAGCTTGATTTTGATTTGAAATTATTTGTTGAGATTAGGGAAAAAGTAAGCTTACCTTTAATAGACTTCAATGGATGCATGAAAGTCTTGCACATGATAGAACAACACAATTTCAATGGTTCTTCCCTCTCTCAGTACCAATTTTTTACATTACAAAAACTTAAAGTGTTAGCCCTTCAGATTACTACGTTTATATTACATATGTACATTAACTTTAGTTCAATTAACAAATTTAAGTATAGTGCTGATAAATTAGCCCTTTACATGCTTAAATTAGCAGCCAAGACTGGCTGTATTTCTGACCTGTTGTACCTGGGAATTTATTATTACAAGACATTCAGATTTAAGGAAGCTTTATCTGTTATAAAAATGACAAAAGGCAAGATTGCCCAACCATATTTGATGTATAAGATTTATACTGAGGCTGTTGGGGAACAGGCCTGGTCTTCAAAAATGAGGGAGGATCTAGCAGTTAACATTAGGCTTTTCAATGAAATCTGTTACATCAATGAATTACTGCCAGAACAAAGGTCTGGTTTACTGAATGAATCAGCTGGATTAGTGATTGATACCCGCACATTTTCACACATGCTAGAATTCCTTTGCTATTGCAACACTGACCCAATAAAAGCAAAATCAGCATTAGATCATTTACAAAATATTGTATACAAATATCAGGGGTTTAATCACGAAGAAATGATGGACATTAACTGGCAAATTCTTGGGATATGCCAACAGATGGCAGGGGATCTGCAGGCTGCTCTATACTCTTACCAACAATCCCTCCAGTATAAATTCCATGGAATACAAACAGCTACACTAATGAGGATAAAAAGTTTACACTGTGAAGGTGGTCTATAAACTCATGGAGTGAAAGTGAAACAAGTACCAACATTTCTGTGATTCTAAGGTAGTCATATACTGATTGATGAATCCTTCAAATTCATGGGAATTCAGAACCATGCACTGATCAAGCATCAATAGAAAAACATGTTTAGAAAACCTACCCAGTCAAAGAGACTAAAAGGGCTGTTAAAAAAAGATGAACATGTACATTCAGACTTACACATGTCTGTATACAGACAAAGTGATATGACCGATAAATTTAAAACAATCTGTCTCTTATTGTAAAGTTCTTTCATGTAAAATTTTGTGAAAATGGACAATGTGATTCCTATAACCCCTCAAAACTTAGTTTGCAGGGGGCATAATAAATAAAAAATAGTTTATTTCAAAGTATCATGTTGCAAAATATTTCATCCAAGGTATTCTTAGATATACTCATGTTGCTTTAACATCTCTTTTCATTCCACAATTAGAGTTTCAGAATAACTACAACAATGACTTTGAGAGGTTAAACTCTTAAAATAGACTTAACCCAAAAGGATTTTCAGGCATGTTAATATTGACTTAATAGTCAGTAGAATGTATAAACCCATACTAAAATTCATACAACTCTGTTATAAATTTATGAATACAAAAGAATTAGGGATGTCAACGAGTACCAGGTTAACCAGGTACTCGATCGAACGTCCGGGTATCAAATACTACAATCGGTACTCGGTTAATCGGAATATATTTTTGAATGTTTCTAAGCTCATTTATTAATGCATTGAAACATCGGTTTTAAAACGTAAGATGTTCATTGTATTTGTATATACAGTAATAATTAGGGTTTTCTACACCTCTAAATGACCGTTATTGCCCGAGGCAGTGTTTATACCGTAATTATGGTGACCAAACACCTGGTACCTGGCTTTTCTCACCTTCGACTGTCTTCTACCCTTATTTTTTGTTTGCTTTAATGATTTGTTTTCACTGAACATCGTTTAAGGTCTATTATGTTTAAATAAATTAGATAATTTTGTCAATTCTATAAGAAGCCGTAAATTCTCAGGAAAAGAGACAGATGATGTTATACATGTGAATGAATTGTTGATATGGTTGTGTTTGATTACATGCCAATTAATTCAAATGGTTGAAGGCAAAGGCTTTAAAAACTGATATCCATCATTGCATCAAACTACAATATACCGTCCCGTAATACTATAAAATATAGGATCGAAAACATGTACAAAGATCGTTAATCCGCTCTGTTATACATGTAGGAGAATTATCTAATAAATAAATTGATCTTTGAAAAAATCTTTCATTAAATTTTGTCTCATCAGGCATGAAGTGCTTATAATTATTACATCAGATTTACGGGTAAACCTCCCATCGGAGCATACAGTTTTATTTCTACAAGAGTTTACAATGTTTTACAGTTATAAATGTTACTTGTTCGTATTTATTTACACTTTTACCGAATACCCGGGTACTCGATCAGAAAAACGTCCTAGTAACCAAGTATTTAAAAAAAATTGATCGATTTGACATCCCTGAAAAGAATTTATAGAAAATTATTTGGACATATGCACCCCACTAAAGACTTTCTTTCCAAAAGTAACCCAGTATCATTATCTT